TGTTGAGCCCGCTTCTGCTCCTGGCAGCTCTTGCATATGTTGACAATGTTCTTAATGTCTACAGCAGGGGTCGGCAACCCCTGGCACGCGTGCCACCATTGGCACGCAGCACCGTAACCAGTGGCACACTAGGAATAATTGGAATAAGTGTGCAAAATATTTAAACGAGACCGCCGCCAGAGTGCGTCCCCCCGTTACCTGCAGAAGGAAGCCATGCACGCAATGCAGCCCCGCTCTCTTTAACTCCAGGCGACTTTTGCCGCTTTCCTCCGTGGTGCAGTGCTGATCGTTTAACTACAGAGGAAAGCACTTCACAAATTGCAGTACCCATAAGGAGCTGTACAAATGCCACAGTTTTTGCGATCTGCTCATCTCTCATCGAAATAATATGCTACAAAGGGGCGGACTGGCCATCTGTGTGTTGAACTTTCCTGTCGGCTCCCAGACCGTATAGTCGAGGAAACAGGGGGGATGACTCTCTGTCGGCTCCCAGGGCAGAAGCAACAAGCTTCACGTTCAATAACCCACTTTTGCTTAAATGACTGGAGAGAGGCGAGCTCTTCTTGGGAGGCCGTTGCATTTATTTAGTTGTTCTTCTGTTTCACAAAATACATCACAGACCTCTGTTTTTCTGCTGCCTCGTTTCACTTCCAGAAACATACACACGCTCGCTCACTCTCGCTCTACCATCCACACACACACATGCACACGCCACACCCCTCTCTCTCTCAGGGGTAGCGATCTCATCTCACTCTACAGTACATGACCCTAATATCATAACATGTGTGTTCTGTAGAATCACAGAACTGACGATCGTCCTTATTATTATGCCAAATTATTTAAATTTGTTTGTTAAATTCGGCATCATGTAAGTTGCGCTGACAGGTTCACACACACTGCTTCCCTGCAGCGAGGCTCCCCCGCCCTGAAACTGATGCATTCACCCTTTCTCTGCATTTTGAGAGCCCCTGGTGTCCCTCATGTATTTTCTGCAAAATGTCTGCTCTCAGTGACCCCGGAACCACGATCCTGTTTCCTCGTATGAATAAGCCATCAGCTTCCGATAGCTCATTTCTCACTTTGGTGTAGTCCAGGGGCGTCGCCTGGACCTGAAAACATTCGGGGCTTAGCCCACAGTGGCGGCGGCACTACAGTGGCATTTTTTACTGCAACACTCCCCACACGCACACACACAGTACACCCGCAACTGTTACAATGAAGGCTCGATAATCAGCTCACGGCATATAGGCAGGGGTAAAGTGGTCTTTTTTATGAGTGGGGGGCTCACCCCCTCTAGGGGGGTCCGGGGGGATACTCCCCCGGGAAGATTTTTTTTTAAATATTGAAGTTATATGCATCAATCTGGTGCACTTTGAGAGCAAAATGAAGAGATCTATGGATACCTCTCTCAACACCCATATGAAGCAGAACTGTAAACAGATGTACTTTTTCTTTATGGATATTTTACTAATCACTCCCCTTTTAAACTCTATTCTTGTTTTACTGCCATATAGTATTTCATAACTGTTTTTCCTTTATTCTCTTTTTTTTTCTAACTATAATGATCATATGAAGGTGTGCCGCGGAAATAATCTTTTGAATAATTTGTGACCAAACCGTTTGAGACCCACTGAGATAACTTAGACTAAAGTTATGTATCTAAACACTCAGAGAGTCCTTTAGCTCACCTGAGTCTCTCAGTCTGAGAGGAGGACTCTCCTCCAGCTTCTTGTGGAACAAACAGCTCCTTATAGTGCAGCTAGCTAACCAGATGCTAACAACACGGTCCATGCTGGCACCGGTCCCTCCCTCCCTCTATCACACTAAATGCGCTATTGCCACACACACACACAGAGCCGAGCTTGAATGACACAAGCACACGTTTATTTCCATGCAACTCTCTGATTGGTCTGGTGTCATGCCTCTGTTGCATTCACTGAACACGGGAAATTACAGTGCTGCTGTCCTCTCTTGTGTCATGATGAGGTTCACGTAAAGCACGGTTAATGTATTATATTATTGAGGGAGAATTGTCCGGGGCTACAGAAAAAACATTCGGGGCTAAAGCCCCGGATGCCCAGGCCAGGCGACGCCACTGGTGTAGTCCCTGATGTTCAGTGGAACATTACTACTGTATTCAGGCCATGCTGTCCTAATCAGCTTGATGACAGCCTGAAGCTCACTGTCGGCTGCTGTCTCTTTTCTGATATTCTCCATTCTCGTTGGAGATGCTGGGATGCCCTGTATCACTGTGGCTACATAGCATGCCACATCTTCTTGAGTATCAGTCTCTTCCTTTGTATGTGTTTGTGGGCTTCGGGACAGTGTGTCGGCGACAACAAGGGTCTTCCCAGGCACATGCTCTGCTAAAGGTTTGTACCTCATGAGCCTCATTAGTAGACGCTGACATCTCAAAGGGACGTTGTCTAGGCTTTGTTTGTTGATCAGTGGCACTAATGGCTTGTGGTCGGTCTCCAGCCTGAACTGATCCAAGCCTCATTGATACTTGTCGAACTTCTCACAGGCCTGTGGTTTTCTTTAGAACTGGCCCCATAGGAGCACACCATTCAGTTGGCTGTGTCACCTTCTCGATGACACCGTTCTTCTCCATCCTCTGCAGTTCCTCTTTTACCATCTGTAACATTGGGAAGGGCACACGGCGTGCTGTATGCACTGCATATGGTTGAGCCCCATCCTTTAATTAGATTTTAACGGGTTCAGTTTTTAGTGTGTCGTGCTCACCATGGGCTTGAAGGTGTTCACTGGTAGTGAATTTCACTTCATCAACACACCTTACCAGATTCATCTCCACTAACAGATCCCGGCTGAGTAGGTTATTGACACTCTGGCCACGGACTACATATGCTTCAAATAGGTAGTTCTTTCCCTTGTAACTGACCGTAGCATTAAAGCGTCCCAGACACAACAGTTCACCTCCTGGGCTGTCTAATGGGATGTCAGCTGGTTTCAGTGTTTTTGGTGGAGTGAGTGTGTGAAATGCATCCTCACATAAGACGCTGACATCAGCTCCTGTGTCAATTTTAAATTCCATTGGAGTAGAATCCACCTGGAGCTGTACTGTCCACTGCTCTTTTTCCTCTGCACTGCACACTGAGCCTAAGAAATAAGGGGTCTGCTCAGCCTGTACAGTCCCTGTGACCTCATTCACTGATCTATTGCTGTTTCGGCACACTCTGGCCCAATGTCCTATTTTATTGCACTTGTGGCATGTAGCTTTAGCTGCCTGCAGGACACCCTTCTTCCTTGCAATGCTGTGATTTCCCACATTTACCACATTTCCTTTCACCTCCCCCCCATTTTCTGTCTTTTGACTTGCCTTGATGTTGTTGAGGTTTCCATTTGTTATTTTTTCCTCTCACACCTCTCACCTCCTGAACTGATCCCACTGGGTCTTCCTGCAGACTCACTTGTGCTGCGACCTCCTCTGACTGCCTGACGGTCCGTATCGTCAGTGCTAGTGTTAGGTCCGCCATTAGCTGCAGCCTGCGCGAGAGCTCTCTGTCTCGTATCCCAACGACAATTTGGTCGCGGATATTCTCATCTCGGCTTGCGCCAAACTCACAGTGTTCTGATAGATCATACAGGGCTCGGATGAAACCCTCTGCCTTCTCCTCTGGCCGCTGGACCCGCTGGTGGAAACATGCCCTCTCGTGGATAATGTTCCTCCTCGGGAAAAAGTACTCATTGAACTTTCCCACCACAACGGCAAAGTCATCGCCATCATCTTCTTCGGCAAAAGTGAACGACTTAAATTTTCTGCCTCGTTGCCCATGGCATAAATCAGGCAGCTCACATGCACTCTCCCGTCATCTTTGTCGAGTTTAGTAGCGAGTCTGTACCGCTCAAAGCGTTGCCTCCATTCTGGCCATTCAGTCGGCTTATCAAAAGAAAAGTTCGCTGGGGGATTAAACTTGGCCATTCCGCCGTCTATATTCCTTGACTTTGTTTTATTTATTTCCTGTGACTCACCGGTCACTTCTGACACCATGTAGAATGTTCGAGGGTCGAGTATCTTTTATGACTCAGGTTTATTCAGCAGTAAGTCAAGACATTACAGTAGGCAGAAACATAACAACTGGCGGGCTTACTCTGTAGTAAAGCAGTCCTTTCCATGCCGTAAAGCATGTCGCAACACTGTCGTAACAGCCTTAACTCTGTATGCATTGCATGCATATGTGACACTCAACAGACAGGGTGAGTATGAAATGCACACCCCCTTCTCTCTGTGTGACGCTACTGTTTACTTTACTGCCTGTTAGCCATGTTTGTAGTTTCTGATGTGGTGCTGTTGCTTACTGTGTGCTGCTGGCCTGGATTCAGCTTCATGTGCTAGTCAGTCTGAAGTTGTGGTTTTATTAGAGTTGTTCTTTGCTCCCATAAAGTCTGTTCAAGCCTCTGAGATGATTTTAGGTGGAGAGCTTTGCAAAAATTGGGTAAATGCTTTAAATCTTTGGCAAGATAACTGCCAATAAAATGATATATTTTTTTAAACAAAGGCATTACCGAAAATGCACTCTGACAATGGTTGATGCTGGTGGTTACTCTGACTATGGGCTATAATAAGTTACTCAAGGAATGATGTATTTCAAAAAATGTCTGTCTGGAAAGTGTTTTAATAAATACTAATTTAATATTCAAAATGAACTATGCACTACTAGTACTCTCTTGAGTTTCTTCCCGTTAAGTGTGTATGACACATTCATAGTTTGTTAAATGTTAAGAAGCCCTCAGACACTGTTTCTTGCAAGATGTTGCCGGCCGGCGGGGGCACCGGGCTTAACAGGTTCTGATTCACTGGCACTACAAAGGCTGAGAAGGCATATTGTAAGGTGCTTTTGTGAAATGTAATCATAGAAAATCACATTGATTGTTCCTAAACATCACTGGGGCTTTATGTAGGGTCCTGACATTAAACCTGATAACATACACTTATACACTACCTATGAAAATGGATAAATAACACACAAAAGACAAATACACTTCTTTTAGAGATTTTGTATTCTGTAAATCTTCGGACAGAATATATACAAACAAGACATTTTACAAAAATACATTTCATAAATAAAAAGATTGACATTGAATTGTTTAGACATGTATTTGTGTACAATGATTATAAAGCTCTGCATTGGTTTAGGGTTGTTTTTTTCTGTTCTTGGAGAGGGATCCCTCCATAGCCTTTTCCTGAGGTTTCTTCTATTTGTCCTTCGTTTATTTGTTGAGTTTGGGTTAGTTTTTTTCTGTAGGGTTCTACGAACAGAGGGTTTCATATAGGCTGTACAGATTGTAAAGCCCCCTGAAGCTGATTTGTGATATTAGGCTGTATTTATACATTATTATACATAATTTATACATTTAAATGGATTAGACAATTGAGTGATGTGTTTCTTCATTTTAATCTATGAAATGTTTTCTAAACTTAAACAAGATAGCATTAGTTACTGTAAAAAAAAAAATATATTCTTATAGCAAATTGATCAGTGAAGCAAGATTCATTTGTACATTATTAGTGCAATTATTTTTACATTCCTGGGGTAATGTTACATGTCTGGCCTATTGGTCTAATGATGATTGAATGGACGCGTTACTCAAAGTTACATTTTATATCAAGTTCATCTGAAGCTGAACAAGACTGAAGACATCATGAATCCTTTTGAACCAACAGAGTATTTCACCATACATTTTTAAAAAATCATTCCAGTGATGGAAGTCATGTTGTGATTAAAATTAAAATTGTAAAAACAGCCCTAATGCTATTGCTGGTTTGATAGTATCCATGACAACAGACAGAGGCAGGATGCGGTGACAAGACTGATCTTGTGTCTTACTCCACTGGAAGCTGTAAATGAGAAAAAAAATAAACAAAACATTAAATCAACATTTATATATTTACTTACATATGCCATTTACGCCAATGGAGCTGCCTTCAATGTCGAATCCAACGACTGTTGAAGCTGCGTTGATCAAGCGTTCGCAATCTGAGTGCTATTAGGAGATGTGCTTACCAACAAAACATCAATGACGTTGATGATTGATCTGTTACTGCAGAAAGAGAAAACAAATATTGTTTGAAATATCAGATTTAGGATCCTACTCTTTATTATAACACTTTAATAGTCTTAAAAAATTACCTGAATGAAACAACATCTGTGATTCGAAGGACGAAGGGAATACCCTTTTGAAAACAGGTGTAAGCTGTAGAAACACAAAACTAAAACATATATTTTTTCACATAAACCTTTGCATTGGATTTAGAGCTTTTTACTTATTTATTTGACTTGATCTTTGTTGGTCTTTCATCAATTAATAATTCCTAATCATAGTGTGGTAACTGTGGAGTAGAATTCACATGTTTTGAGTGGGTGGACTAAAAAAGACGTACCTGATCCTTTATCATTGTAGCCCGAGCTTTATAAGCAGCAGATGGATTCAGCAAGTCATTGGTAAATGTGTCTAGGACAGATCTGAAAGTCACCCTTTTTGTTATAAGGGCTATAGTAGTAGGTGCTGCCGTTTTAGGTTTAGCAGTTGTAGGTTCTGCTGTTTTAGGTTTAGCAGTTGTAGGTGTGGGAGTTGTAGCTGGGACTGGACTTGCTGTAAAAATAGATATATAAATATTATGTTAATATGTATCAGTGGTGCCGAAACTAAAAGTAAAACGTTTCCTTTTTTGATGAAAAACCCTGGTGCCAGTTTTACAATAAGATCAATGATGAAGGGCTTACAAAAATATATTTCTTCTGAAGTTTCTTGGGAAAAAGTATTCTTACATCTGTTCAAAAAGTCATTTAAGTAGTGCTCATTAATTTTGTCTTTACCTACATTTTTTCCGTAGCTACATACTTTTGTTAGTAAATTATTGAAAAAACCAAGCATGCGCAGCAAATGTTATTCAAAATGGTTTGGAAACGTATTGGAGAGAAACATTGTGTTGTGTATACTTACATATAACTTGGACTGAATCAGGATTTATGCTCATGTGTACACACTCTAAAGCCCCCCTTAATAATATGGCTATCAAGTCTGTTTGACATTATGTCACAGGCTATATCTACATCAAGTTTTAAGATACAGAAATGTCACTTGTGTCTCAATGTATTAACATGACTTCTGCTTCCATTTGTAAAGGCATACAAACATTACAATATGCTAAGTACATACATCAATAAAAAAGGTACGGTTCATGTAAAATAGAGCTTAAATGCACCATGGGAATTATTAGGATGATTACAGCATCATCAGTTTACACCAGACCACTTGGAGCTATACAGGATAAAAATGTATGTCTACCCTGGTTAAACAAATACCTGTATATGCTTCCCTTCTAAAAGCTTGAATGTATTAAAATACTGAGGTAAGCTTTTAGCATACCAATATCATATATGAGAAAAAAGTTACAGTAAATTAATAAAGGAATATAAGCTATTGTTTTAAGAAGTCACAATCTTATAAGGATGTCAATATTGTACTGTCAGTCGGTCCAATCCTTTTGATCCAAACTCAAATAACCGAACAACTATTTTGGTAACAATCAAATTTGGAAGCCTGCTGACATGCTGATGATCCTCTGACTCTTACTGTAGCATAAGAGTCTTTTAAGTTAGACAATGTTACTGAACTACAGTTCCCAATAACTTTATTGTGGATTTGCAGGCATTTTGCACAGAGGAGTATTTAGTATTTACTTAATTAAGCTAAGTATTTACACTTAACTTAATGTGGCACTCCTTGTCTATTATCACCTTAATGGAGGGCTTTTTGAGTAATGACATGAATCAGATATCAAATCAAATCAAGTTTTATTTATAAAGCACATTTAAAAGCGATTTTTGGTCGAGCCAAAGTGCTGTACATGTAATAAAAACACATTACTACAATCACAATAAAAGACAATAAATTACAATATGACACCTTATTGAGATATTTCTGCATCTATATGGCCCAACAACAATGTGAAGTCAGAAAGACATCTATTAATCATCTCTTAACACTGTCATTGTATACTCCCTTTTTGGTCTGCTGCTGCATGACGCTTTCACAATCCACTACTGCAGATTATAGTTAGTTTAAGTGTGCCAGTTGGTTAAGTCAAATTAATAAATCATATCAAAATAAATGTAAATGTAGCCCAATAAATGTAATTTGACAAAGGACTAGTTGGATATAGTCTTATATTTGGAAAATACTTTACAGTCCAAAAGAACAAAACCAGCAATGATTGAATTTGAGTGTGTTTGGTCACAATCCTCCTGTGATTCTTTTGCTGTCCTCTTGAGTACTAGAATACAAAGGCAATTAGACTATGTGTTGTCCTTTTCAATCAGCAACATAGAAAGAAGCATTGTGAGCATTTAATCCAATTTTAGCCAACCTGTTTGGCAGTGGTATCTAAGACTTGTCTGAATACTTACACCTGTTGTGTATCTGTAGCTTCAATGACACCTAAAAAATGATCCAACAAAGTCATCATCTGATTATCCCTAAGAAAATAAATAGATAAGTGATTTATATTGTAAGCTAGTGATTATGATGAAGTGTTTCCTTTAACAAATATAATCCATTATCATAAATAAAAATACTTTATTGACATCACAGAGAAGTTTGGTAAAATGACTGAGGCCCACCATTTAGATTATAAAAATATAATATATATCCAAATAAATATGGATATTTATATATATAAAAAAATATGGTTAATAATAATAATACATTAAAGCAATGATCCATTCCCTGTCAGTTAGTTTATCGATTAATTTGACATTTCTGCCTTAGCCTGCACATAAACAACTTGTCTTTCCAAAATGATTGTCACTTTAGTTAATGCACACAACAAGCTGACAGCTGAGACTATTTCTTTATTCATTTAAACCAGGGCCATTGTGAATCGACATGCAGCCATTTTATTTCTGTAAAATCCTGAATACTTATATATAACCATATTGAGAATAACAGATTGGAAGAAAAGGTTTTTAGAAACAATAAGACAGTGTTTGATTGTTTGTTACTTATCTTCAGTGCCTTTAATGGAAGCATTTTCAACTTATTGAGATACACCTTGTTTTTATCTTCGGATGCTAAAAACATAACATATCTTTTGTGTTCCGATCATCAAGAAGACCTTGTTTTTTACAAAAATACAGGTAAGCTCACAGAATACACATAACTTATGTATGATAATATAAAAAGATAGAAATAAGAAAAGTTACTGGATAATAATACAAGGCACTGTGTTCAATTTTAATGTTATATCTGTAAATTATATCTGCCACAATAAGTTAAAATGTTGTTATATGTGATGCGTCTGATATACAATACAGTTATGTAAGGCTTTCTGTAATTGTATTTCACTTAACAGACATGAGCCCTGCACTATTGAAAGCTTGACAGTAGCCCATGACAGCAGCACAAGGAAGGAATGCAGTGATGAGACTCATCTTGTGGCTTACTCCATTTGAAACTTCTGTAAATGATGACAAAAGAAAAAGAAAATATATTGCTTGAAGTATCTCTTTTAGGTGTGTTTTTTGGTAAGGTAGTATTTCAAATAACTTACGTGCGCCATCCAAAAAAATGGAGGCAAGGTTCAATGTTGAAGGCTGTGATGCTTGAAGCTGCATCAGCCAAAATGTTTCCAATCTGAGTGGCCACTAGGAACTGATGTGGATGCAAATTTAAGATTCATGGTGTTGAAGATTGGATCCATTACTGCAGATAGAATTGAAGAGAACTGTATATTCTTATTCATTATAAATAAATTATAACTTATTACAATTATGTTTAAAAATATTATTTTCATGATTCACAGTACAAATATATTTAGATTGCAGTAAATTTTAATAACATTAATAAATTAACCTGAACAAAATCACCGTCAAGGAGCGGAACGAAGAAAATGGCGTTTGTATAATAGGGGTAAGCTGCAAAAAACAAGCAAATAATTATGTACATTTATTTTATTTGCCATTGACTTTTGTAATTGTGGTTTTTAATTTGCACCAACAAACACCATCCAATCATAAAACAATGAACAATCCAGCATCTTCTATCCAGTATAAGAAGCACCAACACTTCAATGTTAAATATATCTGAAACTTATCATTTTATTTAAGTTTTAAGATACATTTTATCTCATAACACAGGATATAGTAATTTGACTATGTCACCAAATGTGTTTGTTTGAGGAGATTTAATCTACAAATTAAGATGGCTTATTGCAGGAAATACTAATACATTTAGTAAAACATTTCCAGTTAATTAGGATGCTTAGATTTCGCTCGGCTTCACCCTATCGACTTACTGTTGTCTCTATTAGTGAGGCTCGTGCTTTAAACGCTGCAGATAATCTATTCTGCAAATCGGTTGTGAATGTTTCTCCAGCAGATCGGAAAGTCAACTGCCTTATTATGACTGCTTCAGCAATTGTAGTAGCTGTCGTAGTTATAGGAG